CATAGTCAATGAAACACAGATAGACATTCCTCTGGTATTCCCTGCTTTCAGCCAAGATCCATCTAACATCAGCTACAATATCTCTAGTACCACGACCTCTTCTAAACCCAGCCTGGACTTCTGGCTCTGTATTTTTTAATACCATTCCTAAATTTACTAGTTGTTGTCGTGTGCCGTCAAGTCAGAACTGACTCATGCCTGACCTTCCAGCAGGTTTTCAGAGATAGTAAATCACATGGGACCAGACTGTCCATCCTTCTTCCTCAGAGTAGCTGGCGGTTTCAAACCATATGCCTTCGGGATTGCACTCCAGCTTCTTACCACTAGGCCACCAGCACTTCCTAATGTACTAGTTGTTGTTTCTGTGTACCATCAAGCTGGAACCTGACCTATAGCTGACCCTCCAGTGAGTTTTCAGAAGCAGCTAATCACACAGGAGGAGACTACCCATTCTTCTCCCACGGAGCAGCTTGTGTTTTTTTAACCACGTGCCTTCAAAAAGGTAGCTAGATTTGTAGGGAAAATAACAGACAGTTAGATAGATCAATAGATAGATATGTTATTGTTGTGGTGATATGCCCTTGAGTCAGAGCCAAATCATAGCTGACCCTCCAGAAAGTTTTCAGAGATAGTAATTCACACAGGGGGAGATTGCCCATCTTTCTCCTGCGTAATAGCTGGTGGATTACAACTGCCTGCCTTTGGGTTGACAGTGAAACCTTTTACCCACCAGGCCACCAGACCTGCACTTATTGAAATGTATCTAAACAGCAAACTTTTCATTTACTTGATGCTCTTTAACAGAAATACCACAAGTAGATGATTTTAAAGAACAGAAATTTATTTTCCCACATTACAAGATCTGAAGGACAAGATGTTGGTGGAGAAGGCTCCTTGGAGAACTGTTTCCTCATTCTGGCTGGCAGGGTCTGAGTGTGAGTCACCTACTGTGGTCACTGAGAGTCTTGAGCACTGGCCAGCCCAGCTCAAGTGCACACTGGACATTGTAATTACTGATCTGTACCTCGATTTTCTTGAGCCTCTACCACCTGTGCAAGTGCTGTTCAGAAATTAGTATTTTCTACTTTGGTGGCTCGTTGGTAGAATGTGTCGATCCTATACACCTCATGCATAACCACTACCCATTTGTCAGTGGAAACTTTTGTGTTGCTAGGATGCTGAACAGATTTTAGTGCAGCTTCCAAGCTGAAGAGAGCTAGAAAGAAAGACCTCATCTACTTCCAGAAATCAACTAATGAAAACCTCTGGACCACAATCGTTCATTCCATCACCAGACGTGGAGATGGCACGGGACTGTTGTTAAGTGCCTTCCAGTTGATTCTGATGCATTGCAACCCTATGAGTAACCACCTGAAACTCTGCCCTATTTGACACCAATCTCAAAATCTCTGTCACGTTTACACCTATTGTGCAGTCACTCTGTCAGTCCCTATCATCAAGGACCATCTTCTCTTTTGCTGACTCTGCTTTCCCAAGAATCGTTTCCTTATCCAAGAACTGAAACGGCTAACAATATGCCCAACATATGTGAATTGAAGTCTCACCATCCTTGCCTCCAAGAAGCACCCTGATTTGCACTTCCTCCAAAATAGATCCATTTGTCTTTTTGGCAATCCATAGGCTAGTCAATTCTCTTCATCAACACCAAATTCAAAGACATCAGTTCTTCGGTTTCTTATTTATTATCCAACATTCACAAACATAGGAAGCAATTGAAAATGTCATGGCTTAGGTCAGGTACACTTTGCTCTTTAAATTTATAGCCTTGTTTTTAGCATTTAACTGAAGTCTTTCACAGCAGATTTTCTCAGTACATCTTTTGGTTTCTTGACTGCTGCTAACGTGGATATTGATTAAGGTTCCGTCAAGCTGTAACTATGTGAGTGGACATTTTACCATCCTTGTCTGCAAGGAGCACCCTGTTTGCACTTCCTCTAGGACAGATTTGATTGTTTCTTTGTTTTGTCTTTGATCTTCTTCAGTAAATGCTTTATGTCTTCTTCAGTTGCAGCAAGCAAGGCTAATATAGGTTGTTGATGTGTCTTACATCACTCTTGATATTATATTCTTCACGATATTGTCCAGCTTCTCAGATTATGTGCTAAGCATACATATTGCATAGGTATCAAGAAAGGATACAATCCTCATACAACCATACATGGTTTCAAACTGAGCAATATCACCTTGTTCTATTCAAATGATAGCTTCTTGGTTTGTGTACAAATTCCACATAAGCACAATTAAGTGTCTTTCAACCCCCATTCTTCTCAATATCATCCATAATTTATTATTATCCATACAGTTAGAAAGGGAACTCTGGTGACCTAATGATAAGAAGCTTTACATAAAGGCCAAAGGCACATGATTCGAATCGACCAGATGCTATTGCAGGAGAAGGATGGGCAGTCTCCTCTTGTGGGATTAACCGCCTCTGAAACCTATGGGAGGGTCATTTGTGAATTGTCCTCAAACTTGAAAACAATGACAACACACAGATGCCTTTGCATAGTCAAGAAAACACAAGCAAGCATCCTTCTGATATTCTTTGCTTTCAACCAAGATCCATCCAACATCAATAATGATAGCACTTGTTACATGGCCTCTTCTAAATCTAGCTTGTATTTCTGGCAGTTCTCTGTCTATGTAGTACTCTAGAACTTTTTTATGTTTTTGAGCAAAATTTTACTTGTATGTGATATTATGATATTTTTTTGTATTTTCCACATTCTTTTGGTTCACCTTCCTTACAATGGACACAAATATGGATCGCTTCCAGTCGGTAGGCCAAGTAGCTGTCTTCCACATCTCTTGGCACAGCCAATGAGCATATCTAGTGCCAGTGCTGCATATGTTTATTGAAACACATCAATTAATAGTCCATTGATTTCTCGAGCTTACTAGTTGATAGTGTATCAATGCCTCTTGAAGTTCTTCCTTCAGTGTCCTTGGTTCTTGGCCATATCCTACTTCTAGAAGTGGTTTCTTGTTGACTAATTCTTTTTGGAAGAGTGCTCTGAGCAGTCTTTCCATCTTCTTTTAATGCTTTCTATATCATTCAATGTTTTGCCCATCATATCCTTCAATAGTATTATAATTTGAAGCTTGAATTTACTGTCTGGTTCTTCCAACTTGAGAAATGCAAAGCATGTGCCTTCTTTTTAGCTTTCTAATTTGTCTTTGAACATTTTGTTATAATATTTTGCTTTGTCTTCTCAAGATGCCTTTTGAAATCTTCAGTTCATTTCCCTTATTTCATGATTTCTTCCTTTTTCTTTACTTCTCTACATTCAAGAGCCAGTTTCAGAGTATCTTCTAACACCCATTTTGGTTATATTCTTTGTTTTATCTCATCATGATAGATGAAGCGATTGAAATTATGAACCTTTTTAGTTTGCTTGGCTCCACAGTCAACACTCTTGATACTAGCAGCCAGGAAACTAGAAGAATTGCATTAGGAAACTAGAATTGTATTGGGAAAGTCTGCTGTCAGAGACCTCTCCAAAATACTGAAGAGCAATGATGTCAGTCTAGAGATGAAGGTGTGCCTGATACAGGCCATAGTCTTTGCAGTTACTTGCTATGCATCAGAGAACTGGACAATGACTAGGGATGATAGAAGGAGAATTGATGCCTTTGAACTTTGGTGCTGGAAAAGAGTTTTGAATATAACCATGGACTGCTAGGAGAACAAACAAATTTGTCCTAGAGAAGGTGAGACCAGGCTGCTTCATGGAGGCAAGAATTCTGAAGCTCCACCTGACATACTTTGGGCATGTTACAAGACAGGACCAGTCCTTGTAGAGGGACATCATGCTTGGGAGGGTGGAGAGACAGCGCAGGAGAGGAAGGCCCTTGATGAGATGGATCGATTTAGTGACTGGGGTATTGGAGTAGGTGTGTCAGAAACAATAAAATTGGCACAAGATAGAGCAGTGTTTAGGGTTGTTGTACATAGGGTTGTTATGAGTCACAGGAGACTCGATGGCACATAACAACAGCAACAACAACAATGACATTTTACTTTCTTCATGATGATGTCCTTGATGTCATCCCATACCTCATCTAGTCATTAGTGTTCAGTGACTGGGCAGCATTAAATTCTGTTGTGTACAGGATCTCCTTGGTCCTTGAGTCATGGGCTGACTGGATGGCAGTAAACAACCACCTTGAAAATTAGAAACCCACCCCAGATTTTTCCCACCACCCTTGGGAGTTGTTTTTAAGGGGTATAAGAATGGATCACTGACATTCATGACCAAGCACTGGATTCCTCTGGTAAGTAATTGTGTGATGCTGACTGTTCTGTTCTTGTTCATTTCAGCCCCACCTCCAAAAAGACAGAAATGTGACCATTGGACTCCATGTCCCCCAAACACTTATGCCTACCGGTTGCTCAGCGGGGGTGGCAAGGACAAGTACGCCAAAATCTGCTTTGAGGATGAACTGTAAGTCTAAGTCTTAAAAAGGGGAAAGTATTTCTGTGACCTGTGTGCAGCGTCAAGTCTGAGAAATGCATGACTGTCCTTGGTCTTAGGCAAAAAGTACAGAGCAGAGTGCTCTAGAGTAAACAGAGCCTGCAGCTGCACTCACTGGGGAAGGGCATTCATTCATTCCCGATGGTTTTTTTGTCCCTCGGTTGAAAGGTTTTGTTCTTTCATTCAACAGTACTTAAAGCAGACTTTGGTAAGTTTATGTGGTTTTTTTCTTTCTTTTATTTTGTGGCATAATTTTGCAGAGTAATTTTTGTATTTTTCTTGTTCGTTGTCATAGAGGTGGCTTCAGCTCATAGCAACCTGAAAATTAACACAACAAAGCATTGCCTGGTTCTGCATCATCTTCTTTGTCATTTGTGTGTTTGAACCTGTTTTTGTGGCTTTTGCATCAGTCTGCCTCACTGAGGGCCCCTCTCATTTTTTTATGACTGTCAAGGATAGGGCCAGGTTCAGATTCACTGTTCATGGGGTTGCTATGAGTCGTAGGTAACTGGACAGGACCTAACAACAATAGAATCCATGATCTTGTCATTTGCCTCACACAGTCATGGGAACACCAGAATTCTGCTGACACAACCTTCCTGCTGTTTTGTTCTGTGATGTTCCCCCACGCAGACTGAGGCAGAGCTCGTTTTTCTTTGCAGTCTACACACCTACTTGTCTCAGATCTTGTGGGACTGTCTGCTGCATGATTGCCACCAAATCCAGGGCTTGTACCTGTCATCCACCTAGTTTATGGACACTTAATGTGATCCCATAATTAATACAGATGAGAGAAAGTTTGGGCTGTTCCTAAAGATGAATAAGCAGCAGTGCTTTACTTCTTACCCTATCCTTTTTGCCAAATCTGGATATAACTTCCTTTGAAGGTTGGTTTACTGCCTGCAGCACTTGGCATCACCCTTATGACTTACTTTCCTCTGTGTTAAAATCAGTTTGTCCCTGTATTTGTCTTGTCCAACCAAGAAATTTGTAGGATAGTGAAGGCATGAGCTCTTGTCTTTCCAACTTTACACATCTGAAGTGATCTTCTTGTTGTGTATTGTAGAGTTGGAGTGGACCTGTAGCTGACCCACAGGTGGGTTTTCAGAGGCAGTTAATCATACAGGAGATTCCCCATCCATCTCCCACAGGACAAACTGTGGCCTCAAACTACATACTTTCAAGATTGCAGCACAGTTTCTTGCTACTAGGCCACCAGAGAGCCATTAAACTATTTTAGAAAACCCTTATTTATGGTGGCCATATTAACCATTTTGACTCATGTATATGAGAATAGAACTCTGGTGCTTCAATTTGGGTTTCAGTGGCTGATTGGTTAACAGTAGATACCTTCTGAGACATTTCTGAATGGATTTAAACCTCCAAGCTTTGAGTTAGCAACCAAGCCTTTGGTTGCACCACACAGGGCCTCTCTTATTCACAGCCAAAAAAAGCTCCTCAAATGCATTGCAGTCTGGTCTGAATAGGCTGCTGACCTTCCAGGGGGTTTTAAGAGGCTATAAAATAAGTGTAAGCAAGATTGTACTAAAGATTATCCAAAAACGACTGGAACAACATACCAGCAGAGAACTTCCAGAAGTCCAGGCTGGCTTTAGAAGGGGTCATGGTACTAGGGATATTACAGCTGATGTTAGATGGATCTTAGCTGAAAACAGGAAATACCAGAAGAATGTCTCTCTGTGTTTCATTGACTGTGCAAAGTTGTTTGACTATGTGGATCATAACAAACTGTGGCTGACTCTGAGAAGAATGGCAATCCCAGAACACTTGATCGTCCTAGAGGAAAACCTATACTTGGACCAAGAGGCAGTCGTCAGAACAGAGCAAGGAATCACTGCATGGTTCAAAATTGGGAAAGGTGTATGCCAGAGATGTGTCCTGTCTCCATACCTTTTCAACCTGTATGCAGAATAGATTATCCAGCAGGCTGGGCTTTATGAGGAGAAAT